CCCCCCCCAATAAAAAAACACCTTCCCTAATGTAAAAAAAAACAACCTATTTGGGGGAATTTATGAACATACTCAAACCAGATGGCAAATAATGATAAAACAAACTAAAATAACACTTGGATGAATAATAACTTGTTGGATACAGTATGTCTGGTTATAAGCAAACGTCAAGTAATATTGCTGTCTTTTGATAAATTTTAAATGAACCGCGTGGAACACGCAGAAACGCGCATGCGTGCAAGGTTTCAAGAGAGCCATATTGCGGCTTTGCGCGCTTCTCTCTCTCTCTCTCTCTCTCTCTCTCTCTCTCTCTCTCTCTCTCTTTCTCTCTCTTCTCAAAGCTCTTAAAGCGTTATCTGTATGCTTTAAACCCACGGTTCGTAATCTTTTCTTTCTTTTTCTAGGTTGACATAATACAACAGGTCGTAGATGGTATCACGCTGCTCCTGGAAACTGACAAACGACTATCGCGCGGCGAAGAAACCAAAGACATAATGCCCTGACAAGACAGTAAAAGCATTACCTGTGTGTGTGTGTGTTGATGTATATATCTGTCACACTGCTGATAAAATAAAGAGTTTTAAATATATCAAATGGTGGCATACCAAAATACTAGGAGTGAGCCAAGAGTACTTTGGCGAGTGCTTCATAGGGGGTCAATGAATATATCAGGCATGCTTATATATTTAATAGCGTACATAGCAATGACACATACTATGCATGTGGTATATATATCATGTGGTATCAAGTGCGCGCTGATTGGCTGGCTACAGTGTTTATACTAAAGAACAGAGATACGCTCGCGCAAAATCGTTCAAAGTATTTTATTAAAAAAATACACAACGATTGCTTATGTTTCTGTATTATAATATAAACACTATGGGAGCTACACCCTCGTGTTCCTAAGATTGCTTCTCTCTTACTCTACAATTCCCACACCTTCCTGCGTATTTATATCACAGTACAGAAACATACGCGCGCGTTTTATATTGCTTAAGTATACCATATACGCATTGCATAAAATGTAATTCCAATATATAATGGACATATGTGTGTTTTCCTACAAACGCAGAGGGAATATAAAAGTATTTCAAATCAAAATCGCAGTAGCTGTAATACTCTGGGAATCGGATTAAGAAAAGTGCAATTGAGTCAACCATACTACGTACCTGCTGCGTCTACTATAACGCTATATATATATTGGTCTACAGTATTGAATAAACCATTAACAGTCCCAGATTTGCAACCAAAGGTGACCACCGTCATTACTAGAGGCAGTATTGTGAGTGTCTTTTCTTTTGTCGGCTTAAATTCAATATTCAGATTATTAGATACCTACAAGCTTGCTTTTTTTCTGGTATTTTTATCGCGTTTGTGTGTGTGTGTGTGTGTGTGTGTGTGTGTGTGTGTGTGTGTGTGTGTGTGTTGCGTTTGTTCGTAAGTGCACTATTTGTTATATATTTATTTGTTTTGTTGCTGTACGTGTCTTGAGATTTCTTTCTTCCATCTTGTATCTTCCTGTTTCGATGTACCAAAAGGTGACCACCGTCATTACTAGAGGCAGTATTGTGAGTGTCTTTTCTTTTGTCGGCTTAAATTCAATATTCAGATTATTAGATACCTACAAACTTGCTTTTTTTCTGGTATTTTTTCGTGTTTTATTTTTTGTGTTGCGTTTGTTTGTAAGTGCACTATTTGTTATATATTTATTTGTTTTGTTGTTGTACGTGCCTTGAGATTTCTCTCTACCATCTAGTATCTTCCTGTTTCGCTGTACTGTTTCGCCCGCGGCCAATCATAATGCTTTTCTGAACCTTTTAGCCGGACTCGTTAAATATATACGACCTTTTGATTGCCAAATTTGTAATCTTCATCCCCACCGAAGTAGTTGTTTTGAATGGAATTTGGAAGTCAATCAGCCAATCATCGGAGGTCTTCAGCCACAAGATGGTCCAAATAAAAATGGATTCTTATACAGAAATAGATTTTTAAACCGAATTAAAGGAAAAATAAACAAATTGAACTGGAAGGATCAACTATGTTGTATTTAGACCTCTAAAAACGTACACTCAACATACTCGCTTTACGTTCAAGGACGCTTCCATCGTGATTATCTATTTTGGTATATATTTGACAGGCATCTTCATGTGAAATCAGTGGCGCAAGCCTTTTATTTGTGTGTATATATATATACCCAACGTATCTTCAGTATATCATGGATTTTAAGATTCAGTTATCGTATTATGTACATTCCCGAAAGGACACTTATATCAGTCAATAACGAAAAGACCAGAAAAAAGATTAAATGAGAGAAAAATTTGACCGGGAAGTGTTCGCTTGTGCATGCTTTGGGCTTTTCCGCTTTTAGCCAAATTACTGCGCGCCAAATTATCTTTCCGCAAAAGAATTCGAAAACTTTTCCCCTTTTGTTAATGAAAATTAAATTAGCAAAAAGAAAATCGATGGGAGTTTCAAAGTGCTGTTGCAATGCTCCTTAATTTCTGCGCATCCCAGAGGGCTGCTCATTGGTGATATTTTTAGCAATGTTTATCAGTTTTGGAAATGAGTAATTGGATTTATGGTAAGAGGATGGGGGTAAACAAAAAGGTCATCGTATTGACGTCTGATGGATAGTAGACGTGGAAGACGACTCCAGTGAAAAAATATACCTATGTATTTATAATTTATATACTTGCACCAGGAGCTGGTTTGTTAGTCGACGCAAATGACTTTTAATCCAGTCATAGTCCAGTCTTAAACAAATCTTCCAGTTGTTGCTGAAGTGTCGAAGGGTATCCACCGACAGCTAGACATGTTTCATCCTGGACTTCATTGTTTCAGGATTTAGAGGAAATTTGAAGCAAGAGTCTAAAAATACTAACTACTTTGAGTCAATTTATGGGTGAACGAGTTGAAATGTTTATTCATATGATGCAGAATTTGTAACAAGTTGTCGATCAATATTAATGGCAAGCAAGCACACGAAAGGACAATTCCGAATGAGATTACACGGATATTTTGGTAGCTCCTTTCTCAACAAGATTCTCCTTTGCTTGTAAACACTCGGGCGAGAGTTTCCACAAATTGTGTTGTTATCGGACTTGAAGGTGTCAAATGAGTGCGTAAGACATGAGAGTTTGAAGACATCGCCAAGTCGTGGCCAAATGAGGCGGTAAATCATTAACGTAGCGTAGTAGAACAACACTCAACCAAAAGGTTATTTGTGGAAGGCTCGTCAAAAATCATGGTCGAGAATATCTTTGGTAGGAAAAGTTATCCACAGACCAAGTACCATGAAAGAGCGTTCCTCCAGTCACATGCGTTTACACTACACCACAGGAGAATTAGTGGTGAGCCTCCCAATCTACGAACCATTGCAGAGACTGATGATGCTGATGATGACATACCGTCTCAAAACTTACTCCCACCTACTCATAGTGATTTGGGAGTGACTGTTCTTCCTGGTCGAAAGCCACGAGCGATCTCGTTGCCAACAATTTACAGGGATGGCTCTTACTTAAGGATCAATTTCCCGGTTCAACCGAGAAACGAGGAGACAGGAAGAAGACGATTCTCGGAGCCGGCCGTCTCGTGGAGTTCCAAATTTCACTCGGCTATCGCTCCATTGTCTAATGATAAAAAACTACCTAATGACAAAGTGTCTTGCGTTGCAAAAGCACAGGAGATTTCCCTGTGTTCGTTCCCACAAGACTTTCAAATCGAAAAGAGAAGACATTCAGACCCTTTAATATATACTTCGGATATCATCCAGAAATTTGAAAATTTAACTACTGACAGCCAGAAAAACATCCAAGATTCAAAGCCAAAGAATGCTGTAGGGAATTCATCTACGGGTTGCTCTGAAAAGAACAGTGATATAACTGAAAGCCAGCAACCAGAAAATGTCACTTCTGCAGCTCCAACGAGACGGAGGAAATCCTCGCTCGTTCCTATTCCTTTTAGCATCGTCAAGAGTTGTAGCTTAAGGAAGCAAAAAGCGCGGCCATCAAAGAGAAGATTGTCTTTCCCTCTGAGTAAGAATGAGAAAGAATTGACTACAAGTCTACCAACCCTACACAAATTGGCATGGATAGATAACGATATGAATCATTATGGCTCGTCGAATGAGTCTTTGAAGTCGGTGGATTTATTTATACGAAAGGATAGTTTAGACGAATTCGATCTACCGGCGGAAGACGACGATATTCCAGAAAAGAAACATAGTTGCGAAGAAATCATTACTCAATGGATGAAATTTTTCGGCTGAGAGGAAATGTTTGATGTCAAATTAATCATAAAAATATTGACAATAATCTTGGCATTTGAGTAGGAAAAATGAAAAATGAACTGGTTTTTACACGTTTTTACCTGGAGAATCTTCCATGGCATTTTAAATGAGGCGGTGTTCGATTCGTTATATTTGTGAATTGTGGTATGCCTACTGCATGTCACATGCTAGCTTTACCTGCTTTTTTGTTGTTGTTGTTATTGTTGTTTTTTGTTTTTTTCCCCCTTGTATCATTTAGCAACCATTGATGGTATTTCAGCATTAAAGCTGGTTAGTACTGTGTTATGTTTAATGCATGGCTATAAGAGGTTTGTTTTCAATCATGTCGTAGTATATTTGGTGCTGCACGCTGTGAATTGTGAGTGTATCGACACAAGTTTTTTACTCGTTCAACGCAAAAATACCAATACTATAATTGTCTCAGATTTTTCGGGCACAAAGTGGAAGAGACGAAGAAGAAGAAAAAAAGTAACAGAACCGACTATTTGTCATGAAAGGAAAATAACAAAAGGATGAAATGAATAATTCAAAAATGAATTGAAATTTGACTTAGCTTCACAAGAAAAAAAAAGAGAGTTTTGCAATGAAGGCATAGTCTCAATAATTCGAAAGGTGAGGAAAATATAAACAGTGGAGTGAAATAATACAAAAATATTTTCAAAATTCTCAGGTCAGATGAAAATAATGATATTGATTTGTATAATATGTATACACCCGCGAAGAAACAGTTGATTTGAATATATTAAAACCCTGAAAGACATCACCTAAAGCTTAACGGATTTGTTTAAAATATTAAGAAGCAAAAAAAATTAAAATAATTTTTTTGGTAAAAATATTTCTTAATATTAAGGTCCACCGGATTGAATTGCGTGGTGCATTTTCCTTTTATTATGATCTAAAAACAAGATGCAACTGATAGAAATGACAGTTTTACTGATGAACTATCGCGTACGATCGCATAGACTCTAGTCCATATTGGCACAAGGTCTTACCATTAACTGTGCAACTAATTTGAATATTCATTCACTTATTGACTCTATGGCTACACCGAAACATTTGGGAAAAATACATAGCACTAAGGTTGAAGTCTTTGAATATAAACACTGAACCAAGATTATATAACTGTTATAAATTTTGGATCATAAAAGTTGGCTGTCCGTTGGTATCGTCAGGAAAGGACTTTCTTGGAGAAAATAGGAAGTTTCACGTTTTGTCATATTGGACACACTCTTGGCTGTCAAATACCAAAACCAAATCAATATGGTATAAACCCCCATCTTACTAATCCTTTATTTTCATTCATTGTAAAAATACATATATAAAGATACATAAAAATAGCATTTAACTTATGATTTTCACGATGTCCGGCGCGCTTGAGGCAAAAATGAATTTCCACGAATTTTTGAATAATAAAAATATTTTTTTCGCAAAATTGAATATTTTTGGTTGTTTTTTTTTTTTTTTTTTTTTTTTTTTTTTT